AATTGGATTATCTGTTGTATGTATAGATGTTCTGTTCTCCTGCCTTTGATGATAAAATACTGGAAGTTGTTGCTGTTTTTGGAACTGTACAAATGGCTGCTTCAAGAGTAATGAACCTGCAACATCACAGAATTGCACAAGTTAGAACAAACTTTTTTTTTTCTGTGATTGTTTTTCATATAATATGTTTATATGAATTTTTTTATCTAGTGCTGTTAAAATATTTAATTTAGTATTTGTGCTGTAACTATAATAACAAATTCTACTTACTATACATTGTCTTCTTTTACAAGATATTTTTGTCATATATTGGACCTTCACCCATTTATATCATATTCACACATACTTTAGAAGTCTTTGAAAATCTTTTATCCTGAAGAATTGAGCAGTTTTAGAAACACAAGCAGCAAATTAACCTAACAGATGTTTTTAGTGAAACATATGGATCTAACTATTCAGTATATCAAGATATTTTTATTCATAGTGTCATTCAGTGAAAATATCCATAATTGGGGATGAAGGTGTACCAGTTCAGGTGGATGGAGAAGCATGGGTCCAGCCTCCTGGTTATATTCGTATTATTCATAAAAATAGAACTCAAGTATTGTGTCGAAACAGGGTAAGTTATATTGGTATTATTCATTAAACTCTGAACAAAGTATACTGTAGACACAGGAGAGGCTTTAATTATATTGAATATTAGAATAAGGTACAAGTGAAAACAAAACTAAGTACTGTGTATAAAGTGGTAGCTTATATACAGTGTTGTTCATAAAACAGAAACCTAGTATTGTTTCCATATAGGAAATTTTTGATATGTGATCATAAAAATGTACACATAATTAGCAAACAAAAACTGGCCATAGTTTGTTTATTATAACAGTTTAATCACAACATTATTTTGTTACCTTAGAATTAAAATGTAAATCTTGAAACAGATATAAGGTATATGTAAGTGTATTTATATGCACTTGTATTTATGTTTAAGGATAGTTTTAAACAACTTGAAATTATGCAAACTTCCCAGGATTGACAGTGCAATTTTGTCCTTCATACAGCACTATGAGTCAGTACAAAAAATGTGGCAAGAAAAACAAAAATCTGCAGGATCTTTAAGAACAATCCATTTAACCGTTTTATCTGAAGATGAAGTCCAAGGCCTAACAAGTTTTCTTGAAGCAGTAGCATCTCTAGTGAGAAGGTTAGTTGAAGCAACCTGTAAATTTAAAGCTTGTTTTAGAACATTGTTTTTCTAGCCAGACCTTGTGTAATACATCTCCTTTTTTAGCCTTTCTGTGTAATACATAGTATTTGGTATTTCCAATCTGAACTACACCTTGTGCGACACATGGCCTAATTGGCTAGGTCACAGACTCCAAGTTTCAGGTATAGCTGTCCCTAATTTTGTTGTAGAACTGCTGACTAGAGGGAGGGTGAACAATCAGCTACAAAGGCTACTATTAACCAAATCATGGGTTTGACTGTTATTTTTATGATGTGCCCACATCTGTAAGTTTATAGCAAGTATATCTATAACCTTTAATTCTCCAATTCACAGCCCAGCATGGCATCCACTGGGATATGCCCAGTATATTTTGTGGGTTTTAAATTTTTGTCTTGATGGATTGTATGACTCATTTTGAGCATCATGAATATTACTTCTTTATCTTTAGTTGTAATGGATAGTATGGCCCATTTTTAATGCAAGTAGCACATCCTTATCTGTATTTTAATCATATTTTTTAAAATTTGTTACAAACATATTACTTGCATTTAATGCAACTTTTAACTGGTACAAAAATCATTTAGCATAATCAGTTGTTTTAAATGATAAATTATATACTGTTTTACAGTCATCATTTTTTATTATCACTTTGCATCATGACTGAAAGGTTAGCAATAATAAACCATTAGATGATGTGATTAGATGTTTTGAGAATAAATTAATAGAAAACAGAGTACCAACAATTGAAATTATAGATATATTGAAATTAACAAGAGTGTGTGTAGATATCCATTTGTCCAAGTTATTCAAAATTATTATAAACAGAAAGAGGGTTTATCTATGGGATCCCCCCTGGTTGCCGTTGTTATGGATAGTTTTGAAAATGAAGCATTAAGTAATGCTAAATTTAAGCCAGAAGTTTGGATAAGATATGTAGATGACACATTCATGGTGTGGCAACATGGCAACAGCAAACTACAAGAATTTTTCAGTTATTTAAATAGTAAAGAACCAGCAATTCAATTCACGTGTGAAATTGAAGATAAAAATATCATTCATTTCTTAGACATATTAGTTAGGAAGAAGGTAACTTAGAAACATCAGTTTATAGAAAACCTTTTGCTGTTGTTATGCCGCCACACAAAGAATCATGTCATATAAAAACCCCAAAAATATCAGCATTTTATACATATGTTTATAGAGTTATAAAACTATGTTCAAGACAGGAAGATTTAAATAATGAATTGTTATTGATTAAGTATATAGCTAATGATAGAGGATTTGATCCAAATATACTAGACAAAGCATTTGAGAAGTTTAACAAAAATGCAAATTCAGTTAAAAATACCACATTAAAATCTGCTTATGAAAAAAAAACAAAAAAGAAACTCTAAGTTTACCTTACATTCCAGGTTTAACAAGTCAATTATATAAAGTATTCAAAAAGTATAATAATTTTTACCCTATCTTCAAACCAATAAATAAGATAAAAGATATGATAGC